AAAAATAGGCCTATGGCTCACTCAGCAATGATAAAAATAGACAAAATACGAAGGCAATAAGAGACACTTACCTGCGGAACCTGCCGCCATCATGGCAGCCCAGGTAACAAGACCTTTAAGCTCACGAGCTCCTGATCCACGACGTTTCTTTTGCCTAGTATGCGATACTGAAACCGATGCCGGTGTGGCCGGTGGCAACAAAGAGGGAATGTTGGAGATATCATCTGTTGCAGGAATATTAATGGAGTGAATTAGATGATAAAAATAAGACAAAGTGATTTGGTTGAATTATAATAAATTTATAAATAAGAAACATTTTTTAATAGATAGTTATTGTCCAAAGGTGACAAAGAAAATAGACGTGATAAACAGGAAAAATTAAAAATTAATCAAATATCAACCCAGTAACCTAAAAGAATGATAAATCTAGTTAGTTAGATAATTTTGCACATCTTCTTGATCTATATGAGACGACTAATTATAGGCAAAATATATCAAAGTCAAAAAGTGATTTAACATGATATAATGCCTCTTGTATTTCTTAATTCCTCGTTGACGTCAAGTATTATTAGTTTCATATGAAGTGAAAGCGGTTGTGCATGAATGTTGCATGCAACATTCATGCAACAGCCTAAAAGAGTCAGACTGTGTTGAATTCGATGGCATCGTGATTTCAAATGATTTCATTGTGGGGAATTCAGATATAATATAGCACAATAAAATAATATATGAAGGAAAACTTTGTTTCGATGAATTCATTAGTAATTTATAGTGGAATGACATTCGAATTCGAAGAATAAGTTATCTGGAAGGAATTTGCGAAATTGTCTCACCGAAAACCGAAGAATTGCAGAAGTGAAGACTAATGGATTGTACGAAGAAGTCCTCAGTTAACCGTCTTGCAACCTTGATGAACTTGTGCTAGGCTACCATCTGTACTAGGCTAGACATCAGAGCAAGAAAAAATACTTTACAAAATTGCACAAAAAACATGCGAATGCAAGAGAGAAGGTCTATCATATTGTTAGCGCAATCAAGTAAAGTAAGGATTGTTGCTCTGAGATCTGTCATAGTACAGACGAAAGCTTATACAAGTTAATCTGGGTCGCGGGACAGTGACGACTTATTTGTTCAATCCAACAGTCTTCACTCTGCGGCAATCCTCCTTCGGTTTCTGTTAAGACCATTTTACTAATTCCTTCCAAATAATCATTCCTTCGAAATGGAAAGTTATGTCACAATAAACTGAGAGCTGTAACACAAAAGTTGATTTTTAAAAAATAGCCAAAATCACTCAATCATTCATATTATAGTTACTACTATCCAAAGTAGTATACATGTTTCAAGTATATTTTACTATTTTTTTGGTCTAAGAAAGGAGTGAGAAGTCTAGGAAACCCACTGTGCTCACCTTTAACCTCTGTAGGTTGCCCACCAGCCATCAGCCATTTTGCACGCTTCACCCACTTTCCTAGCCTTTGGCCTCGTTCTCCAACACCAGTACGTGCAATGGAGGTACTATGTGACTGATCCTCATCTGCCGAGGTATGTAAAGATTCCTCGAGCATGGGTGGTTCCACTTCTACCAGGCTAAGGGGGCCGGGCTGATATGGAGATGGCGGCATCACTTTATTTGTCATATCCATAGTCATGCTAGAGTCTAAAATTACTACTGGCTTCTCTTTAAAACGGCCTTTGCTCATCTTTCTTCGGCCTTTGACGCCGCGTGGAGCCCTCTGCTCCACATTGTGTTGGGTGGTGGAATCAAGCCTTATGTCCCCTTTCGGCACAGAATCTCCTACAATATTGATTTTCGAATCACCAAGGTGACCCTTACAGTCCTGGCGGATAGCAAGGACACCATGCTCTGTAGGACTAGAACTTGAAGTATTTCGCCTGCTCTGATTAATATTTCGCTCAGCTTCCGAATGAATCAGAAGACGACTTTCTTGATCTGACGTACGAGCTGACTCAGAACTGGTTTGGCCCGTAGTGAAATTCTTTATCTGAGACCCAGGTCTTAGGACATTCCAGCACTCTGCCACTGGTTCGGCGACCCGTTCCGTCTCTAGCTGAGAAAGATGATGATGTTTGTGAAGCCGATGGTGATGAATAGGAAGTCCACGAGACCCATCTTCACTTTCTTCTTCTCCATCTATAAGAGAATTATCTGGTGGCGGCCGAGTGGTGTTAACTACGGACACAGTAGCCCCAGCTGCCGTATTGGAAACCGAAGCAAGCCCAGGAAATGGTGCACTGGCAAAAGTTGGACAACCAAATGGAGATGAAACAGGAAGGCTTGGAAGAGCAGCAGCGGAGCCGGACAGGCTATGAAAGGAGCCCAGGAAACTAGAAGGGCCCGAAACAGGCACTTCTGGTCCAACATTAATTGCGGAAACAGAAGTAGGAGCGGGCTGGAGAGGGCCTGTCGAGAAAATGGGAACTGCCGGAACAGGAGGAGCTAGAGGTACCGAGGAGAGTAATTCGTCGAACTTGCGCTAGAGCGAAATAAAAGGAAATAAGGTGGGTGTTAAGTTCGCATATACGTACACAAAAAGCATATATATATGTATATATAATCTAAAGAAAGAAGACGAATTCAATGAGACATCATAAAGATATTGTTGGAGAATGATGAAGAAGCAATAACCAAATATACTTAGACAAATTTGACTCAGTAATTGTATATTGTATCGTGTCCTAGCTTCGCGAGACGGGGATACGTGATATATACATGTACCAGTACTGTTCAACAGAAAGTTAGTCTAGAGATGGATTTAACATATTTGTTTAACAAGCAATAGTTGGTGCTAGGTGGCAATATTAACTAATGACTCAGTATACGACGCCAGCGAAACGAATGAGAATGTACTTAGTCAAGAGTCCGATGCTAAAAATAATCAAGAATACAATGGCAGAGAACTAGGTATATTCATCAAAGTCTTTCTGTCACTAAGATCAAATTGTGATGTAGAAGACTGCGACCAGATCCAAGACCGTACTGGCCTTCACATCTAAAACTTTAAAAATGATTCAATAAGGCATAGATTCAAAGTAAGCAAAAAACATGCCTCAAAAATATGCTGAAGAAACAAACTTTTCTAATATTTCGCATATAGACAGTTTCGAGACTACCAGTAAATCAGCTATATGAGATGTATTCACACTATTTCGTTTAAGGTGATAAAGGACTGGTAGTAGAATTTTCGTTG